TTTTTTTTTTTTTTTTCCCCTGAGTTCTGTATAGGAATGGGAAAACTCACTTTATTTGCAAGCCACACACAGCCTGCTCTGCCAGCAGCAAGCGCGGCACTGTGCTAGCCTTATAGCAGATACAGAGAAGCTAGGATTTTATGTTTTTTCTCCTTTAAAGATTACCTAATCCAGTCGGTAATCACCCCATCCCACTGCCTTCTGCTTGTGCCCGGTTGTGCATCGCGGAGACTTGTACCCAGCCGAGGAGGCAAGATGCCCCCCTATTCCCCAGGAAATATTTCCACAATCAAAGATGTTTTTCCATTAGAAAAGAAACCTATTGAGGAACTTTTAGAAACTCATCTAGAAAGTCACTGGAATTTTTTCGATTAGAAAAAGTTTGGATCCAGTTCAGATCCAAATCCTCAGCTACATGTGCCAGGGACAGGGGTGCAGTCGCAGAAGATCCAAGCCAGTCTCTTGGTTCAGGAAAAAGATGAGACCCAGGCCCAGGCTGCCAGCAGTAGTGTGAGCAGTTTAGCCATTGCATATCCCTGCCCACAGAGATACAGATACTTGCTCCGTAATTCCTACATCAGGCAGAAAATTAAAGTCTTTTATTACAAATGGACTTATGTGACACTACACATGGCTGTTCTGTTCCCCACGGTCCCAGTCATGCTGTCTTTACTACACTCGGAGCAAAAATTGCAATAGAAAGATGTGCTGGGTGTGGTAGGAGTGTGAGAGTAGGACTAAACTCAGCAATTTTCCCACCCACACACAGCAACACACCTTGGCTAGAGACACAGGGGTTTCGTGCTTGTGGCGTTAACAGCAGAAAACCATGCCTGCTTTCAGTCCTTCCACACTGGGAAGACTTCGTGTGCTTTACGAGCGCTCAGGCACTCTGCACATAGGTAGAACAAAACCATTAGACAGTAGAGGCAACAGAGAGATGAAACTTTGGTCTGGGATGAGCCTGTTGTTGTCTTACGAGCAATCCCATGGCACTGCTCGGCACAAAGAGCTGGAACAGATGCACGGTTGCAAAGTACTGGCATCACTCCACATTAAACCCAAAGCTGTAAGCTGGCAACAAGCTGGCAGATGCGAGGATTAGCTGGCTGGAAAGCACCAGAGCCTTTGAATCAACAAAGTTGAGTGTTGACAAGGCACAGTTCAAACTCGTAACACTGGACTTTAGTGGAGAGACTCTGGCATGGATATTTGGAAATTCAAATTGCATTTTTATAGTGGTCCTTGTGGCCTTCCAGTTCAGCATGTAGACTGGCAGAGACATTCAGTGTCAAGGAACTGCTTGAACCGCACGCGATAAATCTGTCACTCAACACCTAGCTATTTCCACATGTGAGTAAAGAAGTGTCCTGAGTTTTTGAGAGCTGGTGGGTATGTGCTGTTAGGGTGACAGTGCAGGTGGCTGTTCAGAGGGACATCTGAATGAGTCCAAAGGCCAACAGAGGCACCGTTGATAGTCATATCAGTAATTTGCTGTTTTATCTCCACTATGGTCTCACAGGGTCTCTGGTCACCCTTTCATGCCTTTCCCACCGGGTTGTGTGCCAAGTGATCAGCAATGCTGACCCAGCTGACTCTGTTCAGGATAATGTGACTTTGGATAACTTCTGGGTAACTCGGCTGGAAAGCAGCTATGGATTCTACATTGGCCTGGGCTTGGCTGTCTTCTCCAGCTTCCTCATTGGAAGCAGCATCATCCTCAAGAAGAAAGGGCTGCTGCGACTGGTGGAGAAGGGAGGCACCAGGGCAGGTGAGACTTTTGGGGGGGGCAGGAGGGAGGAGGTTCACCTGTTCCCAGAACCATACAAGTCATCTAAATTCTAGCACTCATAAGGCAAGGGAACACCTCTGGGTACATATGTCAGCCTTCTATCACCAGTGTAAACGAAACCTTTTGTGAATGCATTTTTGTGTGGGAGACCCAAACAACAGTGCTGTGCTGAAGCTGAGGAGCTAATTTACAGAGCCCTGCGTTGAAAGGGCTCAGCTAAAAGCAGCATTCCCCTGCCTTGCACTGCAAATAGCAAGTCACACGCACTGTGTGATTGGATGTGCACCCACCAGAAGAACAATACATGCCCATCACAGCTCTTACATGGGAGAGTGTGAGGCCAGGAGGAAGCAGGGTGTCGCAAGCTCTTTGAAATGGGTCCCTTTGCACAAAGGTAAAAGTCATCACCATGCCACAGACCAGAGCAGAAGAGCACAACTCCATGACCCCACTCTTGCTCTTACTGATGCCCTAGGTAACTTTGCCACCAAGTCACTAAGACAAGGATGCGGTCCTGTGTGCTTTAATTGCATTAGCAAGAGCCATTTATTAATGCAGGACTACACACCTGTGATCTGTGTGAACTCTGCTTGTGGTTTTCAGAAAGGATACTTCTGAGGTATGTTGCTCAACAACACGTAGATAACTTTCCTCCAGCACCAAGCTCTCAGGGTGAGGCATGTGTTTATGTGCACGTATATATGGATGGGAAATAGTGAAGGAGCACTGCCTACAGCGGAATTGCGCTGTGGAATTGGACACATCCCATCAGCATTGCAAACGTGCGCTCTAGCAGCAGCCTAAGTCCAACCTGGCAGCTGACCTACTTGCATAACTACAAAACAAAATAATGATAATTAAAATACTACAGCTTCCCAGTTCTGGTCTAGGAACAATTCTTAAATCATTTTACAAAAGAAGTAAATATCACTGTCCCCATTTTACCATGTCCCCACATGGGGACACAGAGGCATGGAACAACAAAGTGACTGTCCAGAGTCAACCCGCAAAGCTACCAACAGCACCTGAGCCACAGGCCAGTCTGCAGTCCACCTCCATCCTCTGCCATTACGCCGGCCACATGCAACTGCTGAACTCAGATAGGTTTGCTTTTTGGTATTATATTTGCACCGTGAAATATCAGTATTGTTTCAACTGTAGATGTCTCTCCTCCTTCCCTCCATGAACTCCTCCCACAACAGAGCCAAGTGAATAAAACAAATCAAACCCCTCCCTATTTTTCAGGATGTTTAACCAGGGATTAGAGATTAATGACAGAAAACTGCAGCTGATAAAAAGAGCTCTTGAGAAAAAAAACCACCAAGCAAAACCCAGCAATTTCCAACAAAAAAAAAAAACAACCAAAAATAAACCAGCAATTTTGAAAGACTACCAAAGCATAACATTCAAACTTCAGCATTTGTGAACTTGTTGAGGAACCAGAAGAGGCTGAATTCTAGCAAAAGATTTTTCCATGTGTCCTGAACTCTTCCTGTCTCCCTCTTCATTCCCCCTTTTCCTATCTCACCCTTTAATCTCTCAGTCCCAGTGTTTCACCCCTGCTATCTGAGCACATCGCTTCTCTCCAAGGCAGGTCAAACACCAGTGTTCCAATGGTACTGGCAGCTCTGGTCAGGTCAGACTTATCAAAAACATGGGCTCTCTCTGATCCAGCAAAATCAGGGTTCACAATGTCAGCAGGCTCAAGCTCCTAACATCTCACAGCTTGTGGGTTAAGACCAGAGCTGAATTAGTTCCCAACACAGTATGGCCATTCTTCCTCATTTATATGCACATTTTCTTTCATTTAGTCGTTCCAATGCCAGGAATCATTTTTCATCAGAGATGCTCAGTCACATAATGACTGTTCCACATAAAGTTAACACTAGAATTTCTGGCAGTTCAGGCTGAGGCCCTATGATACAAAGCAGCATACATAAGGAGCAGATAGCTTCTGGGACAGGACGCAGGGAGCCTTCACCACAACCATACAGCAGCAACACAAACTATGACACCACATGCCTACACAGAGCAACCGACCAGCTTTTCCCCTCATCATCCTTCATAGCTATAACCTCTAGCTGAGCTGGGTTTGGAAAAATTCATTGCCTTACCTTAGTGCCCATGTACGAGACTCCGCAGTGAGCCAGTGCGATGCGAGGTGAAGCGCAGGCTCCCCACGGGCAGGATGCAGGCTGGCAGTGTCCCAGGGAACAGCTTTCGGGTGCAGGACACCCAGCACAGAGCAACCCCTGCCATCCTTTGTCCCTCTGCTCCAGGAGCACCCCACAGGCAACAGGCAAGTGGAACACGCAGGACGGGACACGAACAGTCCATGGGAGCTCAGCTGGGGTGTTTATTGCCGGGTTTAGAGGCTGATGCACCCTGACAAACCAGCAAGGATGACCACAGTTCCCAGTGTTGAAGGGCTGCCCCAAGGTCCGTGCTGCAGCACGGCAGGCTGCATCCCAGGCTGATAACCTCTGTGGCCATTCCCATTGCCACCCAAGTCTAGGCCACTGCTTTTATTGTATTTGCATTGTCCAGCCCTAAGTGCCAGCTTCCACTAATCCCTTGACTCAACATAATTTCCGTGTAGGATAGCATGCCTGTGTATTCTGTCCTTGCAGGCTGTTTTCTTTGTCACACTCTTCCCCTTGCAATTTATCCCTTTCCAAAGGGATTTCTCATTTCTTGCTCTGAAGAACATGATTGTTAACTCCTGCATACCTGTGTGCTTTGCTTCCACAGGAGACGGAGGCCACGGCTACCTAAAGGACTGGCTCTGGTGGGCTGGCTTGTTAACCAGTAAGTAGAAACTGTTTCCCTGGGTTTGCAGCTTTTCCAGGATCTGTCCCTGTGAATCAGGTGTGGAATGAGCCCAGTGTCTGGTGGCTTAAAGCCTTTTTTCTGGTGAGTTCCATCCTCAGCAGAGGTACCTGAAGGAGAGCAGAGGCAGCGAGGCACACAGGACCTCCCTCACCATCCTCCTGCAGGGCTGGTAGGACTTGCTAGCTCAGTTTTACTCGATCAAAAGCATGAAAAAACAGGTTTTAATAAGGCAGCTGCCAGCTGCCTGCATAGCATGCAGAGGGCAAACAGCCTCCCATGTACGCTTGGGAGCTCCGGGAAAGGTCACTGCTGCAGCACAGGGAGATAACAAGGAGGTGTTGGTAGCAGCTCCTTTCTTGAGCAGAACTTGTTTTCCTTTAGAGCAAGCTGTAAAAACTTTTTTTTTTTTTTATACTGCAACATTATAGTATCTTCTCAAGTTGGACTCATAGCTGCACAGGGAGCAGCAGATTTCACAAGAGGGTTTTTCAGAGCAGTCTTTTCTGGCTCCCACGCAGCTCAAGGTGCCCCCACTTTGCTCTGCCCTTGCAGCTCCTGCCGCACAACCACCGTAGCACAACCCATAAGCAAGCACACAATACTCACTGCTCAGGAGACAAGGACAGCTCAGCCAGAGGGTCACACCACAGCCCCAAGGACACACTAAGAAGAGGAGGAGCAGCCTTCCACCACTGGGGCTCCCACAACTGCCCACCCCCTCATTAATCACCCAGACGCACTACAGCTGCCTGGCTGGGCTATGGGGGTTTAATGAGTTCATATGGGTCAGCTGTGACATGGCCAAGCCCTGGCATCCCCAGCCCCTTGCCATGTGGGTGCAGGGCTCCAGGGATGCCTCTCTGCTTGCATTAATTTGTAACAAAGATATTTTTCACCCACTATCTGGCCCTATTTAGCAGCAGCATGACACCCCCATAATAAAACCTGCTCTCTAACTGACGTCTTACTAGTTTGCAAGCCCACAAGAGAGAACACAAAAAGTTAACTGTAACTCACTGGTCTTTATTTTTCTTGTGTTTGTTTAGTGGGTGGAGGGGAAGCTGCCAACTTTGCCGCCTATGCCTTTGCTCCTGCAACTATTGTCACGCCTCTGGGGGCTCTAAGCGTGCTCATAAGGTGATTTATTTGTCTATAGTTTGCAATGGGCCTTTTTTGTTTGCCTGCTTGTCTTGTAAGGTGGAAAGACTTGAAGTGATGCTAATATGATTTATTCTGCCTAAAGGAAAAAATATCTCAGTGTTTTTCTAAGAAACACTCTAACAGTTGTTGTCCTTTTGGGGGATTATTTGGAAAGCACTGAATTAAGTAGCATGCCCTTCTGGAAATGCTGCATGTGGATAGAAGCCACATACTTTTCAGGTTAAATTATTGCAAATATCAGTGTTATTTCCTTCTTTATTCCAGCTCTTAGCCAATTCAAGGTTGGGTTTTTTGTTTTGTTTTGTTCTTGTAGTGAGCGGTACTAAAAATCTAAAAGGTTCAAAAATGTCAGGCTTGTTTTAAACTGTCTTTCGTTTGCCTTTTATTTTGTAGGCTGTTAGGGTGCTCTGATGTGTTTTTACACTTCTGTCTGTTGCCAAAATGACTGAAACACTATTTTATTTCTTTATTTTTAAAAGGATATTAATATAAAAATACATGACTCCAGATACTCATGGTTTTATAGAAGGACTGTTATTGTAAAAAGCATAAGCAAATTGAGAGTTAAGACTGCTCTGGTGTCTTGCTCCAAATTTTTATGGACAACAACTAGATATTTTTGCAGATATATCTGTAGCCCAAGGACCATCAGAGTTTATCTGGGGCTTAATAGTTCTGATAATTTAGTTAAAATTAATGTAACTCTTCTGTTGTTAGTTTGGGTTTTTTTTTCTGTTACAGTGGTCCTTGAAATAATTTCCTTGAGCACTAAAAGCTTCATAATGCCCAACAGCTCATGAGTGAATCTGTAGACCCGGAAAATACTTCTGAGGATGTGCTAACACATTCAGCATTTTTTCACCTTGCTGGTACACAAGCCATGATCTATAGATCACACCTGCATCTCTGCAGGTTCAGCTGTCAGTAGGTACAATGTGATTGTGTATTAACACACTGGAATCCAACAAATTTACTCCAAATTCGTGTCCTCATATCACATGATTTTACCTTATTGTAGCTGCTATTCCTTCTTTAAAGGACTGAAAAGCACCAGCTGACGTTTTTCTGTCTCGTGCAGTGCCATCCTGTCTTCATATTTGCTTGGAGAACGGCTCAACCTGCTGGGAAAGCTGGGCTGCATGCTGAGCCTGGTGGGCAGCACTGTGATGGTGATACATGCCCCAGAGGATGAGGAGGTCACCACTCTGGATGAAATGTCTTCTAAGCTGAAGGAGCCAGGTACGCAGGAGGTCATGTTTTCTCTCTTGGGGCTGGGCAGTGCATACTGCTCCCCGTGCCCACCGCTCAGTTTGGGTTATTTCTCTCTCTTCCAGGTTTCCTCGCTTATGCTGCAATCCTCTTGGCTGTCTGCTTCCTCCTGATCTTCTACCTTGCACCTCGCTATGGCCAGAGCAACATTCTCATCTACCTCACCATCTGCTCCGTTATTGGTGCCTTCTCCGTGTCTTCAGTCAAGGGCCTGGGTATTGCCATCAAGGGCTTCTTTGCTGGTCGGCCTGTGCTGCAGCATCCATTGACGTGGATCCTAGTCATCACGCTGGTGGCATCCATCACTACACAAATTAACTACCTCAATAAGTCTCTAGACATTTTCAACACCTCTTTGGTGTTTCCCATCTACTATGTGCTGTTCACCACCATCGTCATCACAACTTCCGTCATCCTCTTTAAGGAGTGGGTCACCATGACTGTAGTTGACATCATTGGGACAGTTTGTGGCTTCCTCACCATCATTTTGGGGGTGTTTTTACTCCATGCCTTCAAAGACATGGACGTCAGTTTGGGGAATCTACCACAAGTCCTCCAGAGTGGACAGCAAGCGCCGGTCACCCGAGATGACAAGAACATCCTGATAGAGGTGGACAACTCCAGCATCGCCCCAGAGGATAAACCCAAAGTATTCATGATCTACACCTAGCGCGTTATATGCGAGGGTCTGGCGGTTGGGTGAATGGGTTGATGTCAATATTCCAGATGCTAGTGAGCTATTCAAAAATGGAAAAGCAGAAACTAAAACCAACAGTGTCTTATCCAAAGCTTGGCAGAGTTAAGCTAAGTCTTTCTCTGGGCTTTTGGATTGGATGTTTGTCATGGTGTGGCAGCAAGGGGTATGTTTAATGCTCACTGGGCTTGAATACATGCAGCCACTGAAAACTAAAATCCTCTTGAAACAGGATACTCCTGGGACAAAGCTCCTCTCCGAGGCCCCTTCCCATCCGTTATTCTTGGCAGGGCTAATATTTACTCTTGCACTCCTTCCCCTGGGTGGCCACTGATGTGTTTGTTTCCAGGCCCTGATTGAGTCATTGACTAGTGTTTTTGTCTTTTTTTTCCTTTCTAGACGCTTGCATGAACTCTAAAATAGACGCCAGTATCTCAAATGGAGGTGAGACAAGGACTGAATGGTGCACACCTGCTGTTCAGACTCTGCTCATCCATGTTTAATTACTTGCTTTGCAAATATGGGACGAGAATATTGGTCAATACGGGCAAAACGTGGCAAATTTTGGAGTAGGCTCTCACTTAGGCTCAGTGGCAGGACCCAAGCCATGAAGTGTTTTTATAGGACTGTGGCAGAGAAATCTTTTTCAGCTTTTATTTTTTGTGAGGTGCAGGAGTTTCCCTGCAGCACAGTGTTAATTAGTTTTATGTGGATTTTTGTTTGTTTGGGTTTTTTTTCCCTAGCAGCTATGGTGCCCAGGTGATGTTGATGTGATTGGTGAAGATGCTGGACCTGATCCAGACCTCACCTGAGCAAACTCAGGCTGGGGAGCTCTGGCAGGGTAAACCCCACATCAGGAGAAATACTGCCACCGTCTTCAAGACTTTTTGTGGTCTTTGAAAATATTTTCAGCCTGAAAGACAAAGTGGCTGTAAATTTTAAGTTTTTCTTTTTCTTGAGAAATGTTTTGACCTTGGAGACCGCCTCCACTCTTTGAGCCCCATGACCTGTCCTGCTATCATTTAAGCCCAAAAGGGGTTTTTTTGTTATTGTTTAGAGGGAGATATGAGCTGCGTGTTAGAAGTCAAACAGGCATAAGTGGGTGATGCTCTGCACAGCTGTAGGGATGCAGTT